CAGACCTTGATCATATATCCCCATGTAGGTGGCTGAGTCGGCCAGTGGGGCCAAGGCCACGTCAGTGGGGAGAAGGATAGGCCGAACGCTGTTCAGAGGCAGACTCCGGGAAGCTGGAGGAGCGCTTCTGGGAGCTGCAGGACGGGACGGGCTACTGCCTCCCAAGGATCTCCTCGGGGAGCTACGAGTACGACGTGGACCTGCGGAAGATGGAGCAGACGAACGTGAGGACCGGCAAGACGCGAAGGGTGCGGCGTGCAGAGTTCGCCTTCCGGAGGGTGGTGATCGAGGGGGGCAGCGTATACCCGCTCCGCGTGGATGTCGCCAGGCACGAGGAGGTGCACTGGGCCTGGGAGGCAGCGCGCTCAGAAGGCCGTGTCACGGTGTTTCTTCTCACGATCGCGGGCCCTCGACGACGACGACGACGACGGACGACGACGACGACGGACGACGACGACGACGGACGACGACGACGACGACGACGACGACGACGACGACGACGACGACGACGACGACGACGACGACGACGACGGACGATGACGACGGACGACGACGACGACGCCGCCGACGACGATGACATCGTGTGGACCCCTGCCCGCAGCCTTGCCCGGTGGCCCGCGGCCCGCGGCCGAGGCCTGGTTGTAGGTCGGGCCTGTCCCTCTACAGGATGGATGTTCAAAAATAGGAAAAAATAGTCTTGGGACGATTTTTTGACAGTTTTTGCATATTTTTTTGGATCATTTTTCATTTTTGACCTAAGCCTAGTTTTTTGTTTGTTCGTCCGGCCTCGGTTGCCCCGACAGGCTCTGCTTCGATCCGATCGATCCGATTCGAGATCGGTTTCGTCGTCGATTTTCGATATCGATCCGATCGGTCCAATTCGATATCGATTCGATATCGATTCCGACATTCCGACGAGACGATGCGGCCCGATGCTCGCATGACGTCCTTGTGCATCCTGGCGCGGCCGATTTTGTTCGTTTCCAGCTCCGTGTCGATGCGCTCCGATTCCTTGCGCCTTCCGATCCGATTTCCAGAGTCGATGCTGACTGATCCTGCCTCAGGCCCCGAGGGAGGCTGTGGGCAGAGCTTCGGGAGCAGAACACTTAGACAGTAAATCACGGAAGCTTCCGCTAATCTTGGATTGAACGTATATTGGGCGCCCAACAGCGCTCGATAGCGCCGAATGGCGCCCATTAGCCCCCCATAGCGATGCATAGCGCCCAAATAGCGCCCAACAGCGACTCATAGCGCCCAGTAGCGCAATATGAGGGAGAGGCATGATGTCCGCTTTGCGCGAATCCGGCGCGCTATTGGGCGCCACGCAGACGACCAAACGTTACGTTGCATCTTCGGGGACCTCGCCTGTCCTCCAAATTGGTGTCTTTTTTTGTGCCCGACGCGGGCTCGATGCAGACTCGACGCGGATTTGGCGCGGACTCGACGCGGATTCGGCATGTATCCGACGAGTCCGACATAGATTCGACACGGCCTCGACGCGGATAGGGCCGCGACGAGTCCCCCCGAGGATGCAACACAACAGAAGCCTCCGTGAACTGCTTTCTGAGAGGACGCCCGCCGTGCTCGGTTCGCGCGATCGCCCAGCGGTCGGCGCCTCTTGGCCGTGCGCCGCGCCCCGCTGTGGTCTCCGCTCCTCCTCCCTCGTCGCCCGCGGCGTGTCCATTGCCTGAGTGAGGAGGGCGAATGGAGGGCGAGGAGGTGGAGGAAGGAGGAGGAGGAGAAGGAGGAGGCGGCGGAGGAGGCGGAGGAGGAGGGAAGGAGGAGGAGGGAAGGAGGAGGAGGGAAGGAGGAGGATGAGGAGGATGAGGAGGATGAGGAGGAGGAGGCGGAGGAGGAGGATGAGGAGGCGTCTCCCCTGACGGGATTGAATGAGCGGCCCCCCGGCGCCACCTCCAAGCCCCCCTCGCGCGGCCCCTCTCCTCCCTCCCCTGACGGGATTGAAGGAGCGGTTCTAGGCCTCCTAGATGGGGTCGGAGTGAATGGGGTTCGGAGGATCGCGCCGCATCGGCGATGCATCGGCGATGCATCGGCGATGCGGGGCTCAGTCTTCTTCACGCGGACGTCGCCGATGCATCGCCGACGTCGACGATGTATCGCTGGTGCATCGCCGATGTATCGCCAATGCATCGGCGAATGAGCGGCGCCCTGGCGCCACCTCCAAGCCCTTCGCGCGGCCGCCCATCTGGGCGAACTTGGAGTCGCCCCTCGCTCCGCCCCGCCCCTGATGTCCTCGCGCCGTGAAAGAGAAAATCACGACGGCTGACGACGACGACGACGACGACGACGACGGCGACGACGACGGCGACGACGACGACGACGACGCCGACGCCGACGCCGACGTCGACGCCGACGCCGACGCCGACGCCGACGCCGACGCTGACGCCGACGCCGACGACGCCGACGTCGACTCCGACGTCTACGCCGACGCCGACGCCGACGCCGACGACGACAACAACGAAGATGACGACGCCGACGCCGACGCCGACGCCGACGCCGCCGACGCCGACGCCGACGCCGACGACGACGACGACGACGACGACGTGTATGTCGCCGACGCCGACGCTGACGTGCGACGACGACGACAACGACAACGACGACGACGACGACGATGGCGACGACGACGACGACGCCGACGCCGACGCCGACCCGACGCCGACGCCGACGCCGACGCCGACGCCGACGCCGACGCCGACGACGCCGACGTCGACTCCGACGTCTACGCCGGCGCCGACGCTGACGTGCGACGAGGACAACGACGAGGACGACGCCGACGCCGACGCCGACGCCGACGCCGACTCCGATGTGTATGTCGCCGACGCCGACGCTGACGTGCGACGACGACAACGACAACGACGCCGACGACGACGGCGACGACGCCGACGACGCCGACGCCGACGCCGACGACGTCGACTCCGACGTCTACGCCGACGCCGACGCTGACGTGCGACGACGACAACGACGAAGACGACGACGCCGACGACGCCGACGCCGACGTCGACTCCGACGTGTAAGTCGCCGACGCCGACGCTGATGTGCGACGACGACAATGACAACGACGACGATGACGACGACGACGACAACGGTCGACGACGACGACAGACGATGACGGTGGCGGCGGCGGTGACGACGACGACGACGCCGGCGTCGACGACGACGACGATGGACGGACGACGACGACAACGACGACGACGACGACGGCGACGGTGCCGACGCCGACGCCGACGCCGACTCCGACGGAAGACGCCGCCGACGCCCACTTAGCCGCCTTCGCCGACGCCGATGCTGACGGGCGACGACGACATCGACAACGACGACGACGACGACGGCGGCGGCGACGACGACGACGACGAAGACAACGACGACGCCTACGCCGACGCCGACGCCGACGCCGACGCCGACGACGCCGACGCCGACTCCGACGCCTACGCGGGCACCTGCGCCGACGTGCGACGACGACAGCGACAAAGACGACGACGACGACGGACGACGACAACGACGGCGACGACGGCGGTCTTGGCGGCGACGACGACTCCGACGACGACGACGACGACGACGAGGGACGACGACGACGACGACGGCGACGACGGCGACGACGACGACGCCTACGCCGACGCCGACGCATACGCTGACGGGCGAGGACGACAACGACGACGATGACGACTATGACTACGACGACGACCACGACAACGGCGTCGGCGACGACGACGACCATTCCGACGCCGACGCCGACACCAACGCCGACGCGACGCCGACGCCGACTCCGCCGCCGACGCTGACGCCGACGCGTACACCTTCGCCAACGCTGATCACGATGACGACGACGACGATCACGATGACGACGACGTCGACGATCTTGATGACGACGACGACGACGTCGAGGATGACGACGACGACGACCACCACCACGACCTCGACCACGACCACGACCACGACCACGACCACGATGACGGACGACGACGGCGACGACGACGACGGCGGCGTCGGTGACGACGACGACGACGATAGCGTCTCTCACACGCTGTAGGGCCGCCAGGTTTTAGGTTTCCGCGGCCTCTGGTAGGGGCCCCCGCGTGGACCCGGGACCACCAACAGAACGCGTCGGGATGAGAAGCCAGCTTCAGGGAAGGGGTCGAGACTTCCAAATCTAGGACCAACTGCGAACCCTGCTCTGTGGGTCCAATCGACGCTGGGCTATCGGACACCATCGCCGGGATTCATTTGGGAGCAGACACCCTTCGAATTTTGCACCCTGGCGGCTGATGACATTCTCCGAGCTCGGAACCACGGCTGGCGTTTCATAAATCTGACTTGCAGGGGTAGGCTTCGCATGCGGTTGCCTGCCGACAGATCACGAGGTCGCGGCGGCGGGTCCGGGCCCGCGCCTCTCTGATTGCTGCCACCCTCCGTGCTGCTCATCGTGGGCAAAACATGCGTATTCGTATCCGCGGCCTCGCGGGCCAGGGCCCTGGGCAGCGACCCCGCCGTCACGCGGCGTTTTTCGCGGATGCCCCGCGCGGAACGTGTCCGTGCGACCGCTTATCCGCGGGACCGCGCCCCGGAATCCCGACCACGAGGGCGCGGATACGGATATGTGTTCGCCGCCTGTGAGCTCAGCACGTCGCCCCCGCAGCTGCTCGGCCGTCTGCGGCGCAGGCCCAGGCAGGTCGGAGGAGGAGCAGGAGGAGGAGGAAGAGGAGCAGGAGGAGGAGGAGGAGGAGGAGGAGGAGGAGGAGAGGAGGAGGAGGAGGAGGACGTCACTGAAGTCATCGCTGTCGCCGTCGTCGTTGTCGCGCCCGTCGTGCACGCTGACTCGCTCTCACACCCAGATGCTCACAGACAGAGTTCCTCAGCGAGAAGTGACAGGAGTATGAGGTGCACAGACTGAGGATCTCCGCGTTGAGTATTTCCGTAGTGTCGGATCTAGGAGTCTCCTCGGATCCGCAGTAGGGCCCTATGCACCGCCACCGTGTTTGGCCAGG